CCAAAGCATTTGGTTGTGAATCGATTGTGCAGCTTCTCCTCGCACATGGGGCAGATCCAAATCCTTAATTTTGCTAGCATGACCCACGCGGCAGAACCGGAGTGGCCTTTGCCGACTACTTGAATATTCTATTCCGAAAGCCGCCACCAAATTCTGGAAGCTTTTTCTCTCCTATCCCACATTCCCCCCCCTCTTTCTTTTTTCTTGCTACCATTTCGCATTACTACGGCTACCTACATGCCCTATATCTCCGGCAGTCTATCGTCCCACGACTGTGCTCTATTGCTCACCCCGAATAAACCACATTTTATGTTCTGAATCCTAACTCCCCTTCTGTTGCCAACTTCCCTCCAAGACTTCCGCGACTTTTTCCCAAATTTCAGATGCCCTCACCGCGAGTTCACTAGAGTATACAAACCTAGATGCACGACCTTCGCTGCACATCCAGTCTCTCCAAATCCACTATCCCTCCATACTACACACCCCGACACAGACCCTAGTTCCACAATACAAAAGTCACCGCCGCACATTGAATTCCCTATTATCATCCTCTACACTAATTAACTTTAGCTTGACCCAATATCCATTACCATTATTCCCCACTTTGGAGACAAAAATTTGCCACATCCCGGATTGTGTACTTCGCGGTTGGGGGATACATACATACTAACCCCTAAGATATCGACCTATTCAGAGACTCCCCGATCGAGATAGAAACTGGAGGAGTATTTCTTTTGTTGTGGCTAGACGGGTGAAAAAAGAGTGGGAGAGGGGGAGCGTATTAAGTTGGCTTACCAATTTATTTATTAAATTAGCTAGTTTAGCCCCGTCTTGGTGCATACGGGAATAGGACCTCGGAGCTTGCCTTTTCCCCTTTCCTCTATATTTCTTTCTCCCTCTCCTTCTCTCCTTTTCGGAACTTAATAAAGGCCATCGTTCCAGGTTCATAGAGGGGCTGTTACTGAGGAACGGGAGTCTTCTTCGTTCTCGTGGGATTGATTATTTGTAGCCTTGCTTTTAAACTCTTTTTATTTATTTCTTTGGATATGTCGCCCCATAGATATCTTAGCAATACACAAGTGGTTCTGACTCGCCTCAGGAGTGTGATACTGTACTCCATAGAATCCCCCATGGTGGTGCCAAGCTCCATCTAGGTCAGATTTGGTAAAAAGTATGAATTGGAGGAACTCGAGCCCCGCAATTCATTTACCACCATTGAAAATGAGCAAAGTTGCCCCCACCCGGCTGGACCCAACCCAACGAACCAGAACCCGGACTAACTCAGGTAAACCTTTGTGACCGCATGCGAAACCAACTGAGGGTGTTTTTGAGCCGTTAAAGCACATTCGATGGAGCACAGCCTGTTATTTTGTCAACTAGATACCACCGGGATAAGGGGGATCAACTCTTAACTCGTAACTTTGGAATAGTTAGGAGAGTTAAACTTCTTTCTCATCGGGTACAAATTGTATCGGTAGCACTCCCCCATGACCTCCTTCGTCAACCGCCAGCATCAATTCAATAGAGTTTTAGAGTAGCCATCAGGCAGGCTTCATTCCTCCGGGTTCCTGAAATTGCACCTCGTTAATAGACCAAACCCATATTGGACGAGTTACCGGGACTTTTGATGCGGAGGACTTAGGGTTCTCTCCTAAGCATCATACATACTTCCTGTATCATACCTATCAAGCATAGGCTGGTGAATTATGAAGTTACCGGACACCAACCACAATCAGCATTCCATCAGGATACCTCAGGTGTGATTTCTTCCACCTTTGCTTTCAAACTGCGTCCGGATCCGCGGTATCATAACGGAAGTTTTGAGTTCAATTCATGTTCCCCGTGTGACGGTGGTCCGGAGGACCCCAATGGCTAGATTCGTAAAATGTCCAAGTCCGGGGGTGAGCCTTACGCTATAGGATGGAGGGCCGACTTGATAGAGCACTTCACGAATCAGAGGAAAAGCTGATATAAGCAGTTGACCGATTGGATTGCTCGGGAACTGATTTCGTACCATCGCTCCCTTATCATAGTGTCGCTGACGGGATGGAATCGGCTATGATTGAGGACCGAGAGAAAGCGAGTTTTTTGGACTAACGGGTAAAACGAGGTGTTTTTTCGCGCATTAAGATATATTGAGCGTGGGAGATATTAGGAGTAAACGATGAGAGGGATAAGCGGTAGTTCATATCTGGGGACCTTCCTTCCCTATGAGAAATCCACGAGTGACTCCTCATGATACAGATCGGGGCTACCATGCTGTAGTTTATTCGCTACTTCTATCCAACAGGCGGTTCCTACAATAGCATGACTATAAACTAGAAATCGTAGTGGTGCATGAATGTTAGACACACTAGGTAAAACCTCAGCCGAGTGGCCAAACCGGAGGAAGATAGTTTCAGGATGCGGTAGGGGACTTCCGGGGGATCGGGACTTTTCCTTATTAACCACAATCCCTCTTTGGCTAAGCCGGGAGATTGATCTTGCTTGGGTAGGACCGGGTTTGACCCAAGTAGCCTAAGAGGTCTCCCAAACCCGGTAATGTGCACCAGCGCGATCATTGCTGTCACAATGAGAGGGATCATCCATGCCAAAGAACACTGAAGGGTACACTCTGTTGGACGAAAGCAGGTGGAAATGGTGGAAATTAAGGAGCATAAGGTTCCACGCCAAAATCAATCTTGAGGTATCACTCGTTATAAATATTTCAAATATTCACTCCATGAATACAAAATAAACCCCCCACTCCTAGTGTATGTGATTAAGAGCTTTCCACCTGACCCATCATGTTTTCTTTCCTTATCAATCCATTAGGTCCCGAGATGGATTACCCCTCTAATATACTGGGTCTTCACTCTTGCCCATGTGGGCACTGTCTAGGCGTATTCTAATTCCCGATTAATGATGTTTCCTCTCCCGCCGCTTCACAATCAAACAAAGGACCTGAACCTAAATACCTTGTCTTTAGGTGGCCACCGAGAGCATATTGGAAGCAGTGGATCTGGGACGATCGCTCCTTCTACACCGATCACCAGTCTTCTGTTAAACCCCTTAAGCTTCCACAGAATTTCGTCCTGCATTTATCTCTCGTAATAATCGCCAAGTATTCCCTAAAATGACCCCGCTTGGAATATTGCCGTCTACATAAACAATTTGTCCCACCTAAGGCATTGTTGGCCGACTATCCAACACCTGAATTGGTCTATACCAGTACATCCTGTGAGTGATAAGTCATGAATCTCAGCCTTCTAACTAAGCCACACCTCCTAGCGAGGTTACCCGTTTAGCACAAATAGTGCCTCCACCATCCAAATGACACGATAAGAGTATCTGACCGCCCGGAGATATTTCCGCGGTGCTTGCAGTTCCCTCTATTGGGCACCCCCTTTACCCTCCCTGGGAAAGAACCAGCACCCCCGTGGGTCCACCATAGGTAGTGCACACGTTCTCAGGCGATAGCTCATTAGACACCGTTGGCAGCGGGACAGATCCAGGACTGTGATGCATGCCCAGCTCCGGTAGGTAGTGACTCCCGTATTTGGAGGGTTTGAGGGGGGGGTGGCTGTAACGTGGTCCGAGGTAGCCCTGTTCTTTTCACTGTATCCTGTCTTCCCCTCCCCCCAGGGAAGGTTAAGGGCACCAGGGGCGGTTGCCTGAGTACTCCGCACACCGAGTCCAATGGAGGTATTCCTCCCTACCATTGAAAGCAACTGGCGAAATCTTTTTGGCATACCCTAAAATTCAATAATGAACGAGTTTTGGTATCACTTTGAGCCCGGTGGAGAGCCTATTTTTCGCAAGCAGTGTACGTTGCGAGGTGGTATCTATGGACAATCAAACAAGTGATGGTGGTGGAGGAGAAAGGAGCTTCGTTACCGTTTTCAGGAGCGTGCCTGCAAGATAAATACAAGACATTGAAGACCATCTGACAGTTCACTCCAACTTCAAGCGCCTCTGGTATCCAAACATTCATATACAATGGCGTACACCACACCCAGGATCATCATCCACTAGCACTTAACTCACTCGCTCAGGCTGATACCAAACTCATTTCCTAAATTAAGCCAAGCACACATAACGGGTAATTATAAAATTTTAATGATATCGGTTTTTTTTATTCCAATAAACTAGCTTAAAAAAATAAAAATAATTCCTCGGCTAACTATTAATTTCATTTCTTTTTGACCGTTTTCATTTGTTATAATATCGTATTTAAAAGGATCCACAATTGCCTACACACTCTCAATACACGGCATATCATCTCCCATTGCCCATATACTCTCAACAGGAGATGGTGGTCGGCGACGGCGCCAAGGGCCAGACGCCAAGTGGATTGGGAAGGCGGGGTAAAACATGCTCTGGTGGTGCTCGAGCAGAATTGTATCCCTAGTTAGTTCTTTGGGACAAGCACTCATTTGATCGGCGGTCCAAAGAATAATGCACAAAGTTGGTGGATTGTGACTATTGAACAATCTCTAATAAGGACGAGAATCCCTAGAGAGCCTGAAAAATGGTAAGCACAAATGAAGATAATCATGACGGGAGCCATAAGAAAGGACTAGGGGAGAAATGAGAAGCCATAGCAGCTGACAGACTCTGGTACCTCATAGGCAAGTAGGTTGCCTGGGGGAAGAGGTGCCGTGGTGAGCTTGGCAAGGAATCTGAAAGGCTATCCGCAATTAGGTGGTAGAAAGTGGGATAACCTAGCCTAACCTCCTAATGACCGACAAAGAGGCACCGTGCGCGGGCTAAGGGGATGAGGGAAAGAAACGGATAAAAAGAGCCAAGAGTTCCATCCAGTCCAAGAACAGTCTACCTCCCTATCCTTCGAGCAGGGTGAGGTGGGTGGTAGGCGTTAGCCGGTATCCACTGTATCCTACGGTTACAATACCCCAGAGCTTGTCCAAGAAAGACCAGAAGCTGTGTAGGTACTATAGGGGGCGGCGGTGGTGGCATCTGTTAGCAATTGGTAAACCCCGCGGTGGCTCCCTGCTGGAAGGCTAAACACGGTCAGGGTAGCGTTTGACGATAAGCCATGCCGTTCGTGGCAGGGAAAAATGCGAGAAGCGGGACAAGACTAGAGGGGAACTGTAGGGGTCGGAGAGAGTTAGGTTGACTAACAACATACCCTGTTAGCTGGATAGGGTAAGGTATTACCGTACGTAGAACACCCTCCCAGACCTCCGCCAACACGGACCTTGGCCAGATGCATTTCTATTCGGCATGAGAGAACGCAATCAGGGGAACTCGACTATTATGCTAGCAGGTCCGGTATCGATGGCGAGTGGTGGGCGGCAGAATGGGATAGGAAGGGCCGTGACTAATTATGAATGATAGGGAGAAAAGTGCGGGAGGGGAGAGCGGAGCCCAGATATGAAGGGAAGAGAACTGGTCGAGTGCGACTTAGATGGCCTGATATGATAGGCGAGGTAGGGACTAGAAGTGGCATGAAACTCTGCGATACCAGAATCGAGGGGATTGTGTGCAGTGATAGCACGTGGATTAGGGTATCATAGTTGTCATTATCCCTTTCTCTGCCATTGTCGGTGAAGTCTGTCTTAGTGGGAGTGAAATTCTCACGGTTAGAGAACTGGCAATAGCTCTTAGAAATATTTTTTTGTCTTTCGGAAGATCAGGTGGCTGCGTCAGCGTGGCCCGGGGTGATGAGAGGGTTGAGATGGATGGGGTGATAGAAGGAAAATTCACGGGGGTGGGGTGGAATACATGGGAGATGGCTCTATCATACGAGTAGTAAAGGATCACCTTCACCAATAGTTCAAACCCCCGAAGGTGAGGGGCTTACGAGCCGCAAAAGGTTCGCCGGTGGCTTAACTGCCAGTCAACCCTCAATTGAGGTGGCGCCGCCCATGGGGAAGGTTTGTCTGGCCTGTCGACCTACGGGAAGACAAACCGCAGAAAATTGTCCCAAATTGACGACTCAATTGAGAGGAGAAGGAAAAGAAAAGACGCTGAGGGCCGATTGGGATGACCTGGATGAGGGAAACGCGGTCTAGGCTGCCTGTAATTTTCTGTTGAGGTGAAGTGTTCGTCCGGTACTCGAGCAGAGCCATTCGGTCCCCGGGTTGAGAGGGGATTGTGCAAATATCTTCACCTTTCCAAGAGCAGGCCTGCTTGAACCCTCTCAAATCGGAAAGTGGCTTTGTAAACCTATCCACGTGACTCTTAATACCGGTAAAGTAGATCAGAGCCACAAGTGCAAGGGTCAGCGTTGCAACGCAGGCAACTATGACTAACGGGAGTCGCAGTGTCCCCTTCACTACAACATCAATGGTCCGAGTAGAAAGTATTAGTATGCCAGAAAAGATAAAGTGGTTATTGTAGTTGAGGGCCAGTAGAGAAAGTGTTGATTTAACTTTGTTTTTTTCTTTTCTCCAACGATACCCTTCATTTGCATGGTTGATGTTGAAGCGAGGGTGGGATCACGATCTATCATACTTTAGTTGTGGCTGAGTTCGGTCCAACTATGACCCGGGCACCCGTGCTCAAACGTTATCTTTGAGCCCCTTGGATAGCACAAGCCGTATTTCGGATAGTCTACCGGTAATCCGGTACTTGTTACTTGTACGAGTACTGGGCACAAGTATGGCAGATCTGGCTCCCACTCGGATAGCATTCCGCTCCGCCAAAACATGCAGGTTGCCCATATTTCCCGTCCACCTACCGTTGGTGGTCTCCACAAGCACCCGTACAGTTCCCGCCCAGCTAACCCCGACTATAACACCAGGAAAAAGAAACCACTCTTCCAGCGCAGCCCGAGCTTTCCCCGAAATATGGTCTCCAGAAACCCGGCTGGAGCTTGGTGATCATGATGGTTGGTAGATTGATAGCCGCTTTCCTGTTGAAAGACGGGATTTTCGCAAGGCGGAGGTGGGCACCGCAGTCCTTGGCTTGACTTTTGGCAAATGAATGTGCTGCGCCACACGTGTTTGTCCTTAGAAATAATCTCCGACGGGTTGATTTGGGTCCCGGGGGGAGTTGTAACGTACTCATGTACCGTGCTCTGAGTGCGCGTCGGAATTACTGTAATTGTTTCCCAATCTGTATGCACACCACTCAGCATAATCGTGCCAAGGTTGTGACTAAGCATCACAACCCCAGGTTGCGAGCGAGCGAGCAACCAGGGGTTGTGATGCTTAGTCACAACCTTGGCACGATTAATCCCCGTCGCTTGCGGCAACACCCATGCAAGGCGAGGAGTTCGATCACTACGAAAACTCTTAGCATGGGGCTAACTTAATATGTAGTCGAATAATGGTTGGCCCCCAGTTTTGCTGACAGCAACGAGGCGTGCAGCTGCCCTTCTTGTGTGTCAGCGCGGGAATTTGGGTACCCCCGCTCGAGCTGAGCCTAAAAATCGTTGCTCTCGCAAGAAGCCCTCTAAGAGTACGACCTGTTGCTGTTTTCCGCCCATCTTTGACTCTGCAGTCGAAAAGTATAACTCAAAAGAATCTAAGGATTGACGGCCCGTCCACCTGAAAAGCGAACACCAGCTTTTGTTTTTCTTTCTCTGCTAAAAAGCAGCAAGCTATCAAAGCCGCACTTTACCGCTTCCCCTCTTTAAGCTCTTAACATCCCGGAGAAGAGAAATGGCGGACCCCTTCTCCGTGGCTGCCAGCGGCTTAGCTCTCATTCACCTCAGTGCGAAGGTTTGCGAACTTTGCTATGACTACTACGATGCGGTCAAAGGGAGCCAGCAGGATTTCAAGACACTGGGGGACGAGATTAAACGTATCCATCAACAACTCGAGGAAATCCAAAGCCTAGCAACCGGAGATGATAAGAACAACCCACAGTACCCTAGCCTTCTTGAATGGACGGAGAACGATAGTTTGAAAGATTGCCAGACAGCCCTGCAGGAGCTGAGGAAAAAATTGGATGTACCGGGATGGAGGAAATCGTCGAGAAAATATATTTGGCCTATTCATAAACCAAAAATGGAACGTTACCTGGGCTTGATCAGAGAGCAGAGATTGGGACTTCAACTCTTGTTGGCTACAGCCACAACGTAGGTTATCCATCCTTCTGCGCCCCGGGAATCTAACATCTCTATTTTCTTTCTTTTCGGTGGCAAGACTAACTAGTTGTTCAGGAAGACCGTAACAAAGATGTCGCGACAGCTGGATGGTACTTGGTCACATCATTCTTCACTGTGCTACGTATTTCCCTTACTAATATCAACTATTGCCGATATTTTAGAGAGAGAATTCCGGGAAGTATTGAAATGGCTTAATGTCGTTGATCCAGCCTCCAACTATTCATCTGCGCTTGCTCTTCGTGAACCTGGTACGGGGAATTGGCTGCTTGCGGGAGATGAGTACAATGACTGGAAGGGTGACCAAGGGGGGATTCTCTGGCTTTACGGAATACGTAAGTGTACCGACGGGTGAAATCCTTTGTCTGAAGAATGTCACTAAAATTTGCATCTTGTAGCCGGATGCGGCAAGAGTGTCCTCAGGTGAGAGCCCAAGTGGATATCTGGAGGAGCAATATCATTTCCAGATTGCTAACTCAATCTTCAGTGCTACTTCCATTGAAGACGTCAAAAGGGTGTGCAACATGAACGATGATTACGGGTTAGCTTATTTCTACTTCACCTTCAGCGACTCTGAGAAGCAGAAATTGGACAACATGCTTCTATCCATTATTGGCCAACTTGCAAAAAGGCCTTCGGATCGAGGTCTGCCAGCTGCGGTTGTAGACCTCTATAATAGTACCAAGGGAATTGGGAAGTCGGCGGATACCAGCACTCTGAAGGTTCTATTGGCGCAAATTATAAAGGATTTCAGGAAGGCATTTATCATCCTCGATGCCTTGGATGAATTTCCCAAGGGCACACGGGAGAGTCTACTATCTTGGATCAAGGAGCTTACCCTTGATCATCAGGCTGGATCGCTTTCCATTCTCGTCACCAGCCGTCCCGAGGCCGATATAGTGGGATCCCTACAACCACTCACGGCTTTTTCAATTTCGCTACAATCCAAAACTATCGATCCGGATATCCGAACATATGTACAGAAATCTCTATCGGGCAAGGATGGATTCAAGAAATTTACCGAAGAAATTAAGAATGAGATAGAGGACACACTAGTTGTCCGTTCTCAAGGAATGTATGTTATACTCGACTATTGAGATTTTAATTTATGCTGATACAAGGGTGGGAATGTTAAGGTTCCGATGGGTGGATTGCCTTTTGCGAATTCTAGAAGCATGTTTGGCGCCGGAGGATGCAAGAGAAGCGTTGAGGAAGGTGCCTAAAGACTTGGATTCTGTCTATGAGAGGATCCTGGAAAGCATCGATGAGGTGCAAAGGATATACGTCCAGCGAGCGATGAATTGGCTGGCATTTTCGGTAGAACCCTTGACGCTAGGCCAGCTTGCAGAGGCCGCCGTGATCGAATACGATGTCGAAAAATATGGCGAGGATCCTAAGACTCGGGCTCTTTTTGATACTGGTTGCCTCATGAGCATTTGTCCTAGCCTTATTTCCTTCGAGGATGCCAGGGACGATGAATCATCCCCACAGGAACACCGCCGATTACGACTGGCACATTTCTCGGTAAAGGAATATTTGATCTCCGATCGGGCAGCTCAGGGCCCCAGTGCCTACTATCGTATTTCCGAGGATGAAGCCAATTCACGGATGGGGCATGCGTGCCTAAGTCGAATACTGAGACATAGTGCCCAAGGCACTTTAAACGGGGAGGAAGTCGAAGAAACGTCATTCCTCTATCACAGTGCTCGTTATTGGTTTGTCTATACCAAATGCATTGAGGATACGGCACCCACACCAATCTCCGACGCAGCGGTGAAGGTTCTCGAGCTTGGAAAGGGCTGGTTAGATGTATATGACCCCGATGATCCTTACCCAGTTAACCCCAGGGGCTCCGATGTTTACCCAGCAGCTATCTACTATTCCTCCTTGTTGAATTTAGTGATGGTCTGTAAACTACTAGTCAGTAGGGAGGAGGGTACAGTGGATGTGAATGCTCAGGGTGGGAGTTATCGCAATGCACTACAAGCAGCTGCATACGGGGGTAACGAATCGGTTGTGCGGCTTCTCCTCGAGCGTGGGGCGGAGGTGAATGCTCAGGGCGGCGAGTTTGGTAATGCACTACAAGCCGCTACGTATGAGGGAAACGAATCAGTTGTGCGGCTTCTTCTCGAGCGTGGGGCGGAGGTGAATGCTCGGGGTGGTGTGTATGGCAATGCACTACAAGCCGCTGCATATAGGGAAAACGAATCAGTTGCACGGCTTCTCCTAGAGCGCGGGCGGATGTGAATGC